CTGAGTTTGAGGGAAGGTTAGGTGTCAAGCTGGAACCCGGAGGTGATGTGGGGCCAGGAACGGACCAGATTTGGGGTCCTCTGCACCTTGGCGTGAACTAGGGTTTTTGTGTGGAGTTTGGAACGGCCGCCTCGCGGCCACCGTTCGTCAGGGGTGTGGAGTCTAAATCAGGAGGACGGATTTATCGGGGTCCTGAGGACCCCAGGGGGTTAGGCGTCCTGCCAGATTTCCCACGGGTGGGGGATCTGCCTGCTCATGAGTCCCTGTGGGAGGCAGGTGGCCCCTCCTTCACCTCTCCCTGCAGAGGCCAGAAAGGGGAGGAACTAAGATGTTGGGAGCTGTGGGGCCTGTGTTCTGACCTGACCACCCTGGACTCCAAATGTGAAGCTGGGAGTAGCCCTCAAACAGAACTGTGTCCAGGCACCGTGTGCCCTCACCAGGCCGGGCCATGCCAAGGTCTCGGCCATGGTCATTCTTAGTTTATTTGTGGTACAGGGACATTGAAGAGAATTGTTGGCTCACTGTGTTTGTATGTTCACGCACTGTGGTTTTGTTTCTGTTTTTTTTTTTAAAGATTTTATTTATTTATTTGACAGACAGATCACAAGCCGGCAGAGAGGCAGGCAGAGAGAGGAGGAAGCAGGCTCCCCGCCAAGCAGAGAGCCCGATCATGCACTGTGGTTTTTTTGAAAGGCTGTGTTAGGTCAGACGATTGAATGGTTAATAAATAACTTAAATTTGTAAAGCAGTTAAAAGATTTTAGTCACTTAAAATTTATAAATGGAGCCTTCCAGAGTTGTTGCCACAAAACGCTAACCCTAACACCAGCACACCGGCTGGCTCAGAAGAGAAGACAGAGGATGAAAACGTACAGACCAGGAGACGGAATTTTGTTTAGATGAGAATACTACCAGAGCAATCTACAGAACCAACGCAATCCCATTCAAATCCCAATGGTATTTCTTTTCATAAATAGAAAAGTCCATTCTAAAATTAATGTGGATTCTCAGAGGACTCTGAAAACCCAAAACAGTCTTGAGACAGAAGAATCAAGCTGGAGGACTTGCATTTCCCAATTTCAAAAATTACTACAAAGCTACCATTGTAGTCCCATCAGAAAGACAGATATATAGGGGCGCCTGGGTGGCTCAGTGGGTTAAAACCTCTGCCTTCGGCTCAGGTTGTGATCCCAGGGTCCTGGGATCGAGCCCCGCATCGGGCTCTCTGCTCAGCGGGGAGCCTGCTTCCCCCTCTCTCTCTGCCTGCCTCTCTGCCTACTTGTGATCTCTGTCTGTCAAATAAATAAATAAAATCTTAAAAAAAAAAAAGACATACATAGACCAATGGAATAGATCAGAGATCCCAGAAATAAGCCCTCGCCTATATGGTCAGCTGATTTTTGACAAGGTTGCTAAGACCAGGGGCGCCTGGGGGGCTCAGTTGTTAAGCATCTGCCTTTGGCTCAGGTCATGATCCCAGGGTCCTGGGATCGAGTCCCACATCGGACTGCCTGCTCAGTGTCAGCCTGCTTCTCCCTCTCCCACTCCCCCTGCTTGTGTTTCCTCTCTCTCTGTCAAATAAATAAAATCTAAAAAAAAAAAAAAAAACAACAACCCAACATCGTTTATAAAAAAAGTTTGCTAAGACCACTCACTGGGGGAAGCACTGTCTTTTCAACCAACGATGCTGAGAAAACTCAATGTTCCCATGCGGAAGAATGAAGTTGGACCCTACCTCACACCATGTGCAAAAACTAACTTAAAGTGGATCAAAGACCGAAATGTAAGAGCTGAAACTATAAAATTCTTAGAAGAAATGCAGGGGGAGTCTTCATGACCTTGGATTTGGCAATGATTTCTTGGATATGATGCCAAAAGTAAGAGAATTAAAGAAAAAACAGGTAAACTGGATTTCACAAAAATTAAAGACTTTGGGGATGAAAGGACACTACAGAGAGAGTGGACAGGCAATCCGGAGATGGGGAAATATTTGCAAACCATATATTTGATGAGAGATTAGTACTCAGGATAGTTAAAAAAACTACAACTCAACAATAAAAAAGAGATAACTGATTAAAAAAAGCAAAGGACCTGAGGAGACATTTCTTCAAAGAGATACAATGGCCAAAAAGCACAGGGAGAGGCTCTACATCATTCATTCGTCGTCAGGCAAACACGAAATCAAAGCCACTGCAAGACACCATTTCATGTCCCCTGGGATGATGACTACTCAAGAAATAACTACATCAATAAATTAGCAAACAGGGAAGGAACCAGCGCTAGCAAGGATGTGGATAAAATCTGAACCCTGGCACGCACCAGGAGGGGTGTGAACGGCCCTGCTGCTCTGGCAGACGGTTTACACCTCCCCGGAGAAGTCGGCACTGCCGCGGACCCTGCCCGGCCACTCCCACGTGCGGGCCCCAGCTAACTGAAAGCAGTAACTCAGGCAGATACCTGTATGTCAGTGTCCATTTACGCGGTTCGCAATAGCCAAAAAAAGGTGGAAACAACCCAAATATGCATCGATGGATAAATGAAGAATCAAAATGTGGTAGAAACATGCTATGGAATGACGTTCAGCCGTAAAAATGAACTGAGGCTCTGAGTGGATCTTGAAAACGTGATGCTGAGTGAGAGGAGCTGGACCAAGAGGGCTCCCATCCAAGTGTCCCAAGATGGAAAGTAGAGGGAGGGCTGCCGTATGCCAGCTATGGGGAACAAGGATTCTGGAGGGGAGGAAGGAGGTTTTAAAATTGACTACAGTGATGAATGCACAACTCTGAATCCACTGACAGCCTCTGAATTATGCATTTTTAATGTTTTTTTAAAAGATGCTATTTATTTATTTGACACAGAGAGAGAGAGAGCGAAAGCAGAGAGAAGCAGGAGGCAGGAGTGGGAGAGGGAGAAGCAGGCCTCCTGCTGAGCGGAGAGCCTGATGCGGGGCTTGATCCCAGGACCCTGAGATCATGACCTGAGCCGAAGGCAGAGGCTTAACAGACTGAGCCACCCAGGCACCCCTGAATTATACATTTTTAAAAATATTTTATTTATTTACTTGAGAAAGAGAGAGCATGACAGTGCAGGGGGCACAGAGTGGAGGGAGAGGAAGGGAGAATCCCAAGCAGGCTCCACTAAGCACGGAGTCTAATGGCAGGCTCGATCCCAGGACCCTGAGATCATGACCTGAGCCAAAATTAACTTGGATGCTCAGGGTGCCTGGGTGGCTCAGTTGGTTAAGACTTTTTGACTCTTGATTTCAGTTCAGATCATGATCTCAGGGTCCTGGGATTGAGCCCCATGTCGGGCTTTGTGCTCAGCAGGGAGTCTGCTTGTCCCTCTGTCCCTCCCCCTGCAGATACACGTGTGCCCTCTCTCAGATAAATAAAATCTTAAAAAAAAAAAAAGGTTGCAGGAAACAAGACAAAAACCCAAGAAATTCACAACCTGAATTTAAAAGCCTAAAGAACCAAAGAGCTAGCCTTGAAATAATACACATGATGTCATTCTACAATCGAAAATTCAAAAAATCAATGAGAAACAGGTTCATTATTCAACAAACAGTACTGAAAATTTTGGCTGCGTGGGAAAAAAACTGTTCTTGGTTTCCACATTATGACCAAATCCCTTTCAGCTAGATTAAAAAGGAAAATGTAAACAAGAAAACCTTAAGAATCTAGAGAAAATTATAGATGAAGTAGCTATTCGGTCACTCGTATACAGCATAAAAATAATAAAATTACAAGATTCAGAAACTTCCAATACAGTATAGATTCGGTTCCGCAGAACAAGACCCACATCGGTCTGCTTGGGGGAATGCGTGTGTGTTTCATGCGGGAGAACGAGCACTTGTTTTGCTTTGCTCTTATTTTGCTTTCTGTTTTCCAAAAAATATTCTCTGCAGTGAACTAATCTTCAACATTCATAAAAGAATATGTTTTGATATGTGAAATAAAAGCCTGAAGGAAAAGAACACAATTTTGAATTTTAAACACACAATGTTTTTTTTTTTTTTTTTTAAAGATTTATTTGACGGAGAGATAGAGAGCGAGCGTAAGTAAGCAGAGCGGCAGGCAGAGGGAGAGAGAAGCAGGCTCTCTGCTAAGCAGGGAGCCCGATGTGGGGCTCGACCCCAGGACCCTGGAATCATGACCCAAGCTGAAGGCAGCTGCTTAACCAACTGAGCCACCCAGGCGCCCCAACACACCATGTTCTTAAACCAGAAGTCAACTCACAGCTGGCCGAGTGCACATGTAGGAGCCCCCAGGAAGGCGCCCGGAAGCTTTGGTCACAGGTCTGTGTGAGCCGCATGTGGCTGTGTGCAGAGACTGAGCTCAGAGCTGTTTCAGTTGGTCAAGGTGGGGGGCAGAGCCGAGTGCATGGGGGGTCGACTGGGGGTCTGTGGGGTCAGAGCATGAGAGGTGAGTGCTGAGGACAGTCGGGGCAGGGGAGGTGGGTGTACAAGTTCCCAGAGGGCAGGGACCTCCCGAGTGACCAACAGAAACCGAGGCAGTGCCCTCAATGCCTGCTGCCACAGGTCCTCTTCCTGGATGGTCAGACAGGTTCTCCCTCCTCCTTCCTGCCTCCCAACCCACACCCTAGAGCACACTCGGCCAGTGGCCTGAACAGGGTGCCCGCCCTGCCCAAGAAGTCTAGGGCCTGACCCTTCAGCTGTTTCGAGACAAGGAAGCAGGGGGAGGAAAGAAGGAAGAAGCCAGGTTCTGGCGAGTTCTCAGGTGCTGGGAGGGTTCTAGGCCCCACATTGCACCACTGGTCGCCTCACTGACTTGGTGTGTGGTGCTGACAGATCGGTCAGGCTGTGCCTGACCATGGCCCTGCGTCTATTTTACAGGGGGAACGTGGAAAGGAGTGAACAAAGGCATTCTAGAAGCCAGGTCAGCTGTCAGCAGGACCGTACCCGTGCCTCTCCCCTGCCAGAGGCAGGGAAGGGCCGTGGTTCTCAGGTCTGTGAAGGGGAAAGGAGACATCACACACGAGGCTGGGCACAGAGGCTCCTTTATTGGTTCCTGGATCTCAGGATCTTCCCTCCTCCTCCCTCGCTTCCTCAGCAGGTCTGCCTCACCCACTCTTGTGCAGGGGCGGGAGTCAGGCGCATCAGACTTGGCTCCTTAAAGAGGGGAAAGGGCTTCCCACAGCCCTGGTTACAACGTCCTGGGGAAGACCCTGAGCTGGGTCATATGCCTGACTTGTGGGTCAAGGCCAGGGGGTAGGCTAGGGTTGGCATGTGTCTTGGGGTGAGTGGGCCCTCCAAGCCGCAGGGCGGCCAAAACCTGCCTGAGAAGACAGCATCCTATCCTGTGTCTGTCACGGCGGTCAGCTAAGGCACACTGGCTGGATTGTGTCCTGCCACAGAAGGCCAGAGACGTGTGGGCACCCTGACCCTCTCTGGACACGGGGCTGCAGAATGCAGCTACTTTTTCCTCCTGGGAATCTGGGAACTGCTGCTGCTGCCGTTGTCAGGGGCTGGGGCGGCCGGTCTGCCAGCAGCTCCAGAGTCCTTCTTGGCGGCTGGCCTGTGCTTCTCCTCCTTGGCTAGAGGGGAGGAGCGGGGGGAATGGGGCCCCAGCAGGGCCTGCATGACCCTAATGGCCCCCACCGCGGCGAGGAGCCCCCAGAGCAGGGTGGAAGCCTCCAGCGGAGAGAGCTGTTTCCGTATCCAGCGGAGGGCCTGGGCCAGGGTGTTGCCGGAGCCGCGGGCTCGGGGTGGGCTCTTGTCCTGTGGGCGCAGGATTGAGGAACGTCCACGGGGACCACGCCTGTGGGGGAGGGTCACACCCCCCTCCCCCTCCCTTGTGTCTTCCCACCTGGAGGCCAAACTGTCGGAGCAGCATGTCTAGCGTCGGGTCCCCCAAGGACACTGGTGGGAAGAATTCTTCCACCCACTGGCGTCGCCACCACTGGCTGCAACGGGGCAGTGTGCTCAGGGGGTGCCTGAGCCCATACCCCAGCACCCCACGCAGCAGTCTGGCCTTACCTCTGCTCCCCAGGTTGTGAGAACCAGTACTTGTAGCGCTGGGCCCGCACGTAGGTGGGCGGCCGCTTGTGGAAGGGGTACTTAGCCACGTCATTCTGGATGAGACGGACCACTGCAAGGGAGCGGGGCTCAGCACGGCCAGTGGCCCCTCAGCCCCAGCCTCCCTTTCCCACACACCCTGCTCCCCCTAGACCCTCCCACTTTCCCATGAGCCCCCCACCGTGCAACTCCCCACCAGGCCTCACCAGGGTCCCTGCCCTGCAGCAGGCGCAGGACCAGGCTTGTGAACCAGGGGCTATGAGTGTGTGGGCCCAGGGCTGCGAACCACATCTGCCAATCGAGGCGGGGCTGGTGGGGCACCACGACGGGGGGCGGCCGACTCACATTCCCGGGCTTGTACATGAACTCGATCTCCTGCCCAGCACAGCACGTGAGCACTAGCCGCTGGCCCGGAGGCCCCCTCCCCCGCCCCCGCCCATGGGGACGCGTACCGTCCAGCGGTGCCCGTCATAGCTGCCCTCCAGCACCACCTCGGGCCGCCCGCCCAGACCCGTCATCCGGCGGAAGAGGCCGTAGGAGTTTGCCAGCTGCAGGTGCTCCACGGCCCCGAACAGCCGGTGCGCCCCGCTCCACAGGTGCCCATGGCTCGAGGGCTCGATGTAGGAGTACGGAACCTGCAGCAGGGGCAGAAGCTCAGTGCTGCCCCTGCAGCCCCCCCCCCCCAAGGGCTACCCACCAGGCTGATCACGAACAAGGCCACCGTGGCAGCACCAAAGACGAGCAGCTGGGCCGCAGTGCAGGACCTCCTCAGCCACCCTCGCACCTGGGTCCACCTGGGGGCAGGGGACCCAAGTGCCGTCAGGCCTGCCCGGCGCAGCTCTACCCCACCCCACCGGACCACGTACCTCCAGAGGGCCGTCAGCACTTCCCAGGCGAGGGAGGCTGCCCCCAGCCACATGGTGGGCAGGGTCACCGTCTTCAGCCACTGGGAAAACTGGTGGAAAGTAAAGGCTGCCAAAAAAACGGGGCGTGAGGAGGAACAGTCCAGCCTCTGTCCTCTGGCCCCCCAGCCGGCACTCACTGGTTCTGGAGTGGACAGCATGCTGCTCCCAGTCAACTTCCAGGCCAAAGTAGTGTATGGTGCCATGAGCCAGCAGCCCATAGACGGTAAATTCCAACAGCAGAGACAGCACAGCCAACAGCACCCTGGGCCAGGCTGCCGAGCAAGAGAGTCACGGGTCGGCTGGGGCGGAACCAGAGCAGGGCTCACGTGGGGGTGTTGGAGGGAAGGAAAGTTGCTGGTGGGCCGTCGGGCTGACAACGCCTGGCTATCTGGGACAAGCTGGCACTCACAAGTGGGTCTCTTTCGGCAGTGGCTATCGCCAGACTCGGCGGTCAGATGCCCGTCATCCAGAAGAGCGGTGGTGAGCACCAGGGTGAGCAGATTGAAGAAGTTGTAGTTGCCAGTGATGATAATCAGGACTTGCAACAAAACCTGGGAAAAGGTCTGCACTGAGAGCTCCAGGGCCTACCCCTCCCCGGCCCTTCCGAGCCCTCTTTCAAGGCCCTCTGCAACCCATGCCTGGGTTTCTCCAGCAGGCGCCCCTCCCCTGCTCATCACCCCCGGCCTGTTACGCTCCCACTCCAACTGGCCTCTGCCCCCTGCTCATACCTTCCACGGCTTCCCATCACCTGGAGAAAACCCAAGCTCAGCACGCCTCGTGTAGCTGACTCTGCCTGCCTGCCTCTGCTAACTCGTGCTTCTGCCCATGAGGTCTTCTGGGCCACCTGAAGCAGCCCCCCAGCTCCAATGGGACGATGACCCACTGGCAGTGCTGAGAAATGCCATGTCCTAGCTTCCTGATGGCTGAGACTCCCACCAACCTGGGAGTAGAAAGCGGCCAAGCGCAGGCGGCGCACAGGGGCGAAGAAGAGAGGGGGCACTGCGATCTCGATGAGGAATGTGGCCACCACGGAGAGTCTGTGCAGCCAGACGGGCAGGTGGTGGGCGAACCAAGAGGCAGGGGTGGGCAGGCACTGTGTTTCGTAGTGGTAGGTGAGGGCTGCAGGTGTAAGTGGGTGGTCAGGGTGAGGCAGCACCCCCAAAGCTACCCCACATTTAGGATGGGACCCTCACCAGTAAGCCCCCACCACGCGGGGCAACGGCTGGTCAGCTTGACCACACCCGAGGCAAACATGAGGCGAAACAGCAGCCAGCGCACGAGCCAGAAGGGGAGGCCTTCGTGGGGCGAGGTCCCTGCCAGCCCACCCTGGGGGGCCTGCTTATCGTGGGAGGGCTGCCTCAGGGGGGCCACCAGCACCGCCAGGAAGCCAGTCTCCAGCAGCAGGGAATCCCTGTGGGGAGAAGGAAGAGCACAAAGGGCCCCTCCCCATCAAGGCCGTTCCCCTTGGAGGGTCCACCCTGGAGAGGCAAACACATTCCGCCCCGCTGCCCCCACCTCCTGCAGCACCTCACCCAGAAGTCACTCACCACTGGAAGTAAAGAAACACCTGGCCCACCTGTAGGGAGAAGGGTTGTCAGGGAGCAGGGGGCGTGTGTCTGTGGAGGCAGGCAAGGCAGAGGCAGGGGTGGACAGGACTGGACTGAATTGGTGACCAGGGTCCCAGCGGTGGATGGGGGTGGCAGGCAGCCCCCACTTGCCTGGCAGGCCGACAGGTAGGCCGCCCAGAGCAGCAGGTAGACGAAGACGTTTCGCAGCCGGCGCAGCAGCAGGGCGCCCAGGGCCAGCAGGGTGCCCAGCAGGGTCAGTAGCTCCAGACCCTGCGAGGTGTCCAGCCCCAGCTGCGGAGCCTCCCACAGCAGCGTCGGCGTCTCCCACAGCTGCTGCCAGCGCCCCTTGCCCTGTGGTCTCAGCGTCCTCCGCGCAGGCAGGATGCCCTCGGCACCATACAGGCCTGTGGGAGGCCACGTCAGGGTCCGGGACACTGCCCTCCAAGGCCAGACTCCCGCGCCCTCCAGGTAGGGCCTGCAGACCCCCTCCTGAGGTCTAGACTGCGGGACCTGCAGACTCTGGCCAACCGGGTGCGAACCCGCGGATCCCCAGCCCCTTCCGAACCAGACTCCGCAGGCCAGGTCCTCCCACCCGGCGGGGCCGAGGTCCCCCCTCGTCCCGCTCCCTGTATTTTCTCCCCCCGCCCCGCTCAGGATTCTGCCCCGGCCCCCGGTCTGAGCCACCCCCGTTCCTCGCCAAGCTCCCGCAGCCCGCAGGACGCGAACGGACGCCGCCCCCGTGGGCTCCGAGGCCTGGTCCTTACTCCATCCGCACCCGCCCTCTCGGCGTCGTGTCGGCGGGGACGGGAGCGCACACAGGGGGCGGGCTAGGGGCCTTCCCCGCGGCGCGCCCTCACCCGGGATCTGCAAGTAGAGGGACGCGAAGGCAAACGCGAAGACGACGGCCACGCCCTGAAGGAAGAGCTGCCTCGGGAGCCGGGAGCCCGCCATGTCCGCTACGCGGCCAGCGGCGGGCGGCGCCCACAAGCCCCGCCCCCGCCCGGCCCCGCTTCCAGCGCGGCGCGCGGCGCCTGGGGCGTCCTCCCCGGCTGGGGCCGCGTGCGTCATAGATGTGCGCGCGGCGGCGCGTGCGACGTTTTTTCCCTGGGCGGGAACAGCAAAATGGCGCCAGAGCTAGTGGCGGGCTGAGGACGCTGGCTCCCCTGGAAGACGCTCCTGCGGTCGCCGGGCCGCCCCGGCCCCTCCCGGACATGGAGGACGTGGAGGCGCGCTTCGCCCATCTGCTGCAGCCCATCCGCGACCTCACTAAGAACTGGGAGGTGGACGTGGCGGCCCAGCTGGGCGAGTATCTGGAGGAGGTGAGCGCGGCCCCGGGGGAGTGGCGCGGGGCGGGCGGGCGGGGCCGCGAGGGGGGGCGGCGGGCCGGGGGCTCCGGGCCGGCCGCGCCCCGCCTCCACGTCTGTTGTGCCCGCGCTCTGGCCGCGCTCGCGCTCGGGCTGGTGGCTTTCCTTTTTCGCAGCTCCGCCCGGGCGTCTGGAAATTAGTCCGGAGTTGTAGTCCCAGGTCGCTGCCTGTGCGCGAGCCGAGAAATCGGGTTAGTGGGTGGCGACCAGTCCTCTTCTCTGGGTGGAGCAGAACTTCGCGCGTGTTCGCGTGTTTGAGAGAGCTGGATCGCGGGTGAAGAGGGGTTTTCCACCGTGGGTTTTCCAGCCGGCTTCAAGCTACCGTCAGCACGTGGTCTGTCTTCGTACCGCGCAGCCGTGTGCAGGCCTCGGAACGAGCTGCGGCTCCATTTGAGCACATCGCTTTCCCTCCGCAGCCCGTTTGGACCGCGCTCATCCTTAGCGGTGACGTCCATCCTGCCAAATCCTAGGGGCGCTAGAAAGTGACCTTGCTCGGCGAGCAGCTTTTGTCGGGCTCCACCCTCTCTTTTTGGAATGGGTTTACCTGCTCTGATTTTTTCCCCAAGTCATTTGCTTACTTTTTTCCCCGCTGTCCACTCTCTGTATGTTGAGCTCCTCTGGGCAAGCCCTGGGCCAGCAGCTTCTTACATATCTCCCCTAAACAATCATCTCACTTACTTCCATGATTTTAAGTTTTAGTGTGTGAGGATAACTCTCAGCTCATATTTCCATCCCAGATCTTTTCTTTGAATTTATTTTCTGTCCAATTACTCCTCACATTCTACTTCGATGTTCCATGCAAGCATCTCAGATTTAATACGTTAACTTAGAGCTCTTGGGGCGCCTGCTTGGCTCAATCCATTAAGCTTCTGCCTTTGGCTCAGGTCAGGATTTCAGGGTCCTGGGATGAGCCCTGCATCAGGCTCCCTGCTCAGTGGGGAGTCTGCTCCCTCTCCCTCTGCATCCCCCCCCCCCCCCACTCATGCCCTTTCTCAAATAAATAAAATGTTAGGGAAAAAAAAATAAAGTGGATATCCTGCGTAATTCCCAGTCTTCTAGTCTGGGTAAATAGCACTGCTGACCAACGGAAGGTGAGCGCTAAGAGCTGCTCTGCGGAAATCCTGTGCTTCACACCCGTTCACCCATGGATTCTGCCTGTTAAACCCCCAGAATTTCACTTGAATTCATCTGTTCTTTACCTCAGATTCATGTAAAACCTTCCTTTCCAGGCTCCTTACAGCTGTTTTGGCCCATCCAGTTGATGTTCTGTCCAGTAGGAAGTATGACTCTCAGCTGCTGTGGTGTCCTGTCACCCCTCGGGGGCTTTCTGCTGCACTCAGCAGAGAGTACAAACCACCTTTTTTGAGTCTGGCCTTGCTGACTGTTTTAGCCTCATCTTGGGCTTCTCTCCACCTGTTCTTTCGAGCCAATCAACCTACAACTCTGGAACTCATTCTTTTTTTTTTTTTTTTTTTAATAAGGAAATTTACTTAATATTATTGTTATTGTTGTTGTTGTTATTATTATTATTTTTAAGGAATCTCTATACCCAACCTGGGGCTTGAATTCACAACCCTGAGATCAAGAGTCGCATGCTCTAAGGCGCCCTGGAGCTCGTTCTTGACCCAGGGTCTTTATAATTTCTGCCCGCATTGGGGAATACTCTTTCTTCTTCTTCTTTTTTTTAGATGTACTTTTTTTTTTTTTTCCTTTTAAGATTCTATTTATTTATTTGACAGAGAGAGGGAACACAGGCAGGGGGAGCAGGAGAGGGAGAAGCAGGCTTCCCATTGAGCAGGGAGCCCAATGCGGGGCTCGATCCCAAAACCCTGGGATCATGACCTGAGCCGAAGGTAGACGTTTAACCACTGAGCCACCCAGGTGCCCCTGGAATATTCTTTCTTTAGTTCTTTTTGCAACTAATCCCTTCATCCTTTACGTCTCAGTATTCTTTACGTCAGTACATCAGGACATCGTCCTGTGTCTCAGTTATTCCTTAACTTGTTCACTTGTTTGTGGTCTTTCCACTCTAGAACGTCAGTTCTGCTAGGGCAGGAACCGTGTGTGCATTCTCTTCCCTTTGCATAATAGAATGCCTGGCACATGGTATACACAGAGTAAGTGTTTGTTGAATGAATCCTTGATCTGTTGATCTGCCTCCTCTGCTTGGACACATAGGCTGCTAAAAAAAATTCGGAGAATTGTGCTGGCTGGGGCTGTTCCGGGTTCAGGTGTCCACAGTGAGCAGGCCGCTTGGTGTTGCCTGGTAAACTGCTTCCCAGCTGGGTCAGCTCCTTCCTTCCTTCTAAAGATTTATAAAATTTTTTACTTTTTAATATTTAAGTTTAAAATTTTTTTTTTCAGAGAGAGAACACGTAGGGAGGAGGGGCAGAGGGGGAGAGAGAGAATCTCAAGCAGACTCCATACTCAGTGTGGAGCCCGATGAGTGGTTCAGTCTTACAACCCTGAGTTCATGACCTGAGCTGAAGCCAAGAATCAGACTCTCAACACTCAGTGTGACACTGAGCCACCCTGGCCACCAAAAGATTTTGTTTTTTAATCATTTTTAAGTAATCTCTATACCCAGAGTGGGGCTTGAAGTTACAACCCTGAGATGGAGAGTTGCATGCTCTACTGACTGAGCCAGCCAGCCACGCCCCGCTTCGTGCTTCTTATGTTTGCTCTTCCAGACCTTCTCCGCCCTCTGAAGTCCTGATTTCCCTGCTTCTACTTTTGTCTTTACCCTTTTCATTTTCCATGCAGCTACCAGAAAGTTCTTTTCTAAAAAAATTTTAACAAATCGTATTATGTTGCTCTTTTCCATATGTTTATTTGTTGATTGTTGTTGAGCATTTGTCGTAGTCAAGAATCATGTTAAACTCTGAGAAAATAGTGGCAAGGAAACAGTAGTCCCTGCTTCCCCTTCTGGGAGGATGGATCCTAAGGAAGTAAGCACGCAGAGTTGGAACAGGTATTCTACAGAGAGGTTAACAGGGGCTCGAAGTCCTAGCTAGTGGGTGGCAGAGTGGAGGCCCCCTCCTCACTGTGTCTTTGTGTAAAAACAGACTGACGAGAGATTCAAAAGGAACGTTGAGGGCTCCAAAAGGAGTTTGGGTGAAAGGAGTTGGCTAGTCATAGAGAGCTGAAGAATGTCCCAAGGTTCTGAGGTGGGAGAGTGCTTGGCTCCAAGGGCGACCATGGAGAAGGACATTGTGACTTCTCTGTAGTGAGTAGGGGAGGGGGGGCAACTGGAGAGGAAGCTGGTTAGCGTGCGAGGCTCTCTGTAGAATTTGGGTTTTTTCCCTAAGAGGGGCAGAAAGCCATTAGGGTTCTGAGTGGAGTGATGTAATCTGCCTTGTGTCTTCAGACATGCGTCTGCTTGCGAAGAGGAGGGTGGAGGGGAGTGAAGGGCGAAAAGAATCCAGTCAGTGTCAGGGTCCAGGCCAGAGGGGGCTGACTGGTGGTCAGCGTGGAGAGGAGCAGACAGGTTAGGCTGGAGCATGGAGGTGTCAGGGAACGTGCCATGGGCTGAACGGGGGAAGTGAGAGAAGACGGGGAGGAGCTAAGATTTGCAGATCCGTGGATGGTGGTTGCGGGGATATCTAGGGTTCGGTGCGGCCCTGTCCAGTATGAATTTTGGTTAAGACATCCAAACATCCATGGTGTTTGAAGAAGGTAGTTGGACATACAGGTTTAGGCTTAGACGAGAGGTCCAACCTGGAGCATGCATTTAGGAGTTGTTCAAATGCGGGTGGAGTGTGAGGTCCTACAAGTGGGTGAGCCTAGCCTGAGAAGAAAAGGGCCACTTCTGCAGTTCAGGGCCTGGGTGACTCAGCGGCCCTCCCCTTCATATCCTGTCCTTTCAGGGAAATCCATTCACTTTTCCAGAATGCTCTGCACTCTCTCAGACTGGCGTGTTCCTCCAGTGACCTGAAAAACTTGCTCTGTCCTTCAAGAATTAGTAGAAGTGGCCTCATGGTAGTGTCCTCCCAGACTCCCCCTTCTTTGGGCCCCCATAGTGCCTAATGTCTGACCTTGCTCTCCAACACACCCTGTGTTTTGGACATGGGTGCCTAATACTCATTTTCCTTACTGGTTGGATCCCAGGTCTGCTGACTGCCTTTGTGGGAGCAGTTGCTCTTCCTAGAAGGCCACTGCCTTCATCTGCCGGGGGAGTGTCTTCCAGGCTCAGCTCCAACGGCAGCACTTCTCAGTTCATCAGATCTTTATTGGACACTAGCTTCTGGCCCTGAGATGGAGGCTGGAATTGGCCCTAACAGGGCAGAGAGAAGCCCCAGGCATGAGAGCTACGCTGCGGGAGTATTCGCACTGGCACAGCTGGGAGCGGTACTCCAGGCAGATGGAAAGCAAAGGCGAAGAGCCTGGAAAAACGTATTGGGGCTTCAGAGTGCTGTTTGCTGCGAGGCGTGCAGGAAAGGGGCCCTGTTGTGGAGAGCCCCTAGGTTGCGTATGGAGATAAAAAGCTTGCAGACATTTAGCTGTCTTGGGGTGGCTCTAAGCATGGTCCTGTGGCAAAGGAGAACGCACTGCTGTAGATGGGTTTGGGAATTGTTGGCATATGGTCTGTGGACCATGGACATT